GATGCCTCTATTTCCATTTTCACGGGCTGGCTTTCTTGCCTGCATTGCATGCCAGCCTCTGGCTCCATTACCAATTCCTTCTATCCAGGAACAGGGCACATACAAACTGCAGGTGCTTCCTCAGCCTGAAAAAGGGTTTTTCAACCCAGGATAAATTTCTGTAACTATTCAGTTGGCCTACTAAGAGACACCAGATTAGATTGACCTAAAGAACCTTGTCTGCCAGTGCCATGTCCTTACACCAACACCCCTAGCACCTGTCCCTGGTCAGCTGACCACAAGGATGCAGGGCCCTGGGCAAATGTAAGCCCCAGGGCTGGGGCTGGCAGCGAGACTTCTCTGGCAGCTGCTGGAGAAGAAGCTCCTGCAGGAAAGGAAAGAAAGGCTCTGTGATGGCTGCCTGAGATGCTGCTGGTGCTACAGTACTGCTTACTAAGTTATCATCTGTTGTTATTTAAAGTGGTGGACTGAAATGAGCCTGCAGGGGAGGAGGAGACCTCACTGGGGCACACTACTGTGTTGTACAGAGGCCCCAGCACCAGTGAGGGCGCACCTTAAGACACCCCCCCCCCCCCCCCCCAACCCTCCTTCTTGGCCCACATGAGTTTTGCTTTCAGGACTCTGAGGTGCAGCTTCACAGAAACCCCTGCACCTATCTCCTTGAAACTTGGCAGGCTTCACGCCCTCAGAAGGAGCTACCATCCCTGCTGTTTTCATCTGCCAAAAAATGACAAAGTTATAGGCAGGCTCATGCTTCCCCATGATAGCCTATGGGCAAAATGTCAAAACAGAGAAACAGTTTCAACAAAATGAAGCAGAACAGCAGCTTCAAAACTAAAAACTCAAAACAAAACACTGTCCCATCAAAATGGTGAAATACAAGTCGAAACAAAATGGTGCTGTTTTGCACAGCCCTAGTGAATAGCAAGCATCAAGTGGGACAATATAAAAAAAATCCATAAAAGACAGTAAAATAGGTTTATAAAAAACAAAAAAACCCACAAGCGCTTATATACTTGTCTATAAAATAATTGTACAATAACAATGGTCAGGAAAAGTGGAGCTGAACATAGTGAAGACTATAGTGTTGAAAGAAACAGAGGAAAGGAATATTAAGTGACAAGATTTTAAAAACTTTTTCCCCCCCAAACAATTAACATACTATTTTAGATAATTTCCTAAAACTGAATTGCCTCTATGAAACCTAAAGCTTCCTAAACCTAAGTCATGCTGTTGAGATGCTTTGCTCCTGTGAATTGTGCTGTTATTCAGAATCCCTTGGCATGCAATGGCTGGAAAAGCATGTCATAATCACAGCACTGAAATAATGCGCAAACAGGGAAAAGTTTATACATTTTATCCCTTGTTAATGGAAGAACTGAATAGTTTTAAACTATTATCCAAACCAAAAATTAAATGTTTCCAATCAGGAAGCATATGAACTTTATTACAGAAGCTGATTGACCTGGAAACCAATGAAAGAAACACAAGATCCTAGAAATGTGCTTTGCCAAAGCCACAATTTTACCTATACCTATGCTATAACTCCGGGTATTTCCTATGCTTCGGGGCTTTATTAGTTGCCACATGGGGACAGGAGAGAACTTTTTGCCCCTCCTGCAGCTACATATATCAGGGTTTTTTCCCCTACCTTCCTCAGAAGCACTGCACCACTACCCATTGGTTGGCTGCAGCTAAGGCTGTGGGTTTTGACTAGGGTGGGCCAGTGCTTCTGCTGGGGTTTAAACCCAGAGGTTCCTGGCTCAAGGGTCTTGCCCCTCTGCTCAGGGTTACACCAATTGCCACAGTTAAGGTCAGGAAGGAATTTTACCCCATGGTCAGATTAGTGTGGACTGTGGGGGGTTTTGCCTTCCTCTGTAATATGGAGCGTGGCCCTCTCTTGGATCTATTGAGCATACTTTAGCAACAATGCAGCAGCAGGACATTAGGTGCCATGGTCCCCCTGCTTGACACCTGTGCCAGGTTAGAGTGTTATGTCTTGTGGTTTTAAATCAGGGTTGACTGTGTAGTTTTGTTACTAAGTTAGACAATGGATTTGTACAGGGTGGTTTGGAGAGGCATGCTCCTGCCTCAGGAAGGGGGTTGGACTAGATGACCTATGGAGGTCCCTTCCGGGCTTACTTCTCTATGATTCTTTTAAATCACTTAAGAATGACCCAGCAAAAAGAAAGGAGTTGTCTCCTTCCCATACCGGATATTAGGACCCCTGCCCTATTCTTCATTCATTTCAGGTTTTCTAAACTGCTTCTAATTGCAATTCACTGAAGAACCAGCTCTCCTGCCAAACTATTAACTCTACTGGGAACCTTCCAAGTTGAGATGCAATGGATTTTATAGCCTATTTGGCTGCTGAAAGGAAAGGAAACACTCTACCCTGCTGAGGTCAGTCTAATATTGACTTCCCAGCCCTAAAAGGCAACTGGCATGATGTCAACAGTAAAGCCTCAAGGCTTGTTCCTACAGAGAAGGACTTATAAAAATATCTCTCTAAGTATTCAAGAGCTAATAATGTTATACTAAACCCAGTCAGACGCACAGAAATTTTCCACGAGAAAGGGAGTTACATACAATCTAAAGGGAACAGGGATTTTCTTTCCCTTGCTGGCTCAGGTAAAAGTGCACTCCCAATCCATTTGGTACAATTTTTTTTCCCTCCACAATAAAATTTGTGTTAGGGATTGTAACTGAAACGAATACCCACTTTGATGGTTTAAGTAGAAAATTCTGAATGGAAAACAATGTTCTTTCTACATAGCAGAAACGTTCAGCTTGGTTCTATAAACAGTCCCACCTATTAACATAAAAATTAAGATAAATGGAGCATGTTCGATATCAGAGGTAACAGGGCAGCTCTGCATCTTGGGCAGCAGTGGCACATGGGGCAGTGCCAATGGCTGTGCTGCTAGTAATGGTGTCTGTGTTTGCACCCTCTGTTCTCCCCAAAGGTGATGCCCACATCTGATGCCCTAGGTGCCTCTTCTCCCAGAAGTTAGTCTTTGAAATGAATTTTTCTATATTGAACAGTAGTGTATCTATATAATGTGGGCATACCAAATAAATTCTTCTACTTTTAAAAGTATTATTTTTCATGCTATGAAAAAAAGCAGAAGTGCACAGATAACAGAGACATACAACATACCTAAGCAAAGTTACTAATCTAAATGACATAATACACAGACATACTGGCTGCTTCCAGACATTGAAAAACAACAAATCTCAAAAACCGGGTGCTTTACTTTAATCTTGGCACACCGCCACGCAGAGCCCAGCGCATGGCCAGAAGCAGCACATCAAGTTGCACCCAGCTTGCCCAACATCTGTATAGATCAGGGGCTTTAGTGGGGCTTTTTTGGAGCATTTAATCCAATACCTGATTTAATAAGCTTTAGATAAAAGTGCTAAAAAGCCCCACTGAAGTGCCCAATCTATGCAGACACTGAGGAGCTGTGTCAAAGTAATGCACTGCTTCTGGTAAGGCGCAACTTTTTTTTGTTTGTTTGTTCTAATGTCTGCAACCAGCTACTCTTCCATTTCTAATAGCTGTGTAGGAATTCCAGCCCAATTGTACATATTTTCCATTCACTATGATTAGGCTGTTGTTATTACCTCCAGCTTCCTCCTCCTCTTAATATTTTCTAAAGTTAAGCTCAAGCTATTTCATATTAAGTAAGCATTCTATAATAATTAACTTCTGTCAATTATCCTCTCTTCTATTCAAGCTAGTTGAACTCTGAATTGCCTACCTCACCGTGTCCATATTCATTTCAAATGTTGACCTTTTTTTAAAGCTTTCAACATCAACATTTCAACCTGACAGGTCTGTAAATAACACTGAATTAATATAAAAACATTTACCATTCCTGTTAATCAAACTTTTTACACCACTACAGATAATTTTCTTCTTTCTTTCATTTATTCATTGACTGGCTCGATTACTAGTGTATCTTGTTCTCAATTTGTGCTGCCAGCCAAATGATTGATACTTAATTCTAATATAAGAGAATGTGAAAAGTAAATCTTATCATAAAACAGAATCTTCATTTCAGGGAAAAGAAAATAAACCAGCTTGTTTTGTTAAGGTTTCACTGTCACTAATTGAAACTTTTCAGTGTTTTGTTTACCTTGTATCTACCACTTTATTTCTGCATGATTGCTGAACTAAATGTGCTCTGTATATAACTTAAGTGTGTAACTTAAGTACACTTCACATTTTGTTTTGTTAACAGAGCACAGATTCAAACTTACAAAAGGATTCTGGTCTGGAGATAGATCCATTCTGCTATAAAATGTAAAAGCATAGGCAGCAAAGAATCTGAGTAAAAGAAAACTTAGTTTGTATTCAATTTAAGTTCTAACTTCATCTACTACCATGTTTGCAAAATCATAGGTTAAATAATTATTTCATAGTACTCTCTTATTATATGATATAATGTTCAACTAATAAAATGCTTCCTGCAATGGATCAGATTTCACTCTAATAAAAACTTAAAAAGAGAAACAAATTGGAAAAGAATAAGTGACAAAAACATCATTTAGAAGAATCATTTAAAACCATCTAGAATTACTTTCAACCATTTTAAACAAGCTGTGAACATATTCTTAAATGCTCAATAAAAATCAAACTTTGCAAACTAGACATTTCTTAGGCGTTTTCTTGAAGATTCCACACACACACACCAAGGTATGGGAATTCATAAATATACATTTATATACTTTTAAAATCCACAATCACTACTCTATGCACACACACAGAATCCATCCTCACTGGCAGCTTACCTGTTTTTCCATTAAAAATGGTCAGTTTTGAATTTTTGAGATTGAAAATACAGGACACAGCATCCACAAATTTGGTAAAATCCAGCATATTATCGCCCTTTGGATTTTCTAGCAGCAACATACCATCTGAGAACAAAAATTAATTAAAATGAAATTTAAAAAATGTATGCATTTGGATTGACAGCAACAAATACTTCCAGAAGATGAGTTTTATGGAATGAAATATGCAAGTAGAAGTATTGGCGTAGTGATTGTAGTGTAATTATTCTGATTTTCAAGTCAGGAGCACAAAATTGTGTAATGGCAACACAGATATACTACAAAAAAGTCATTAGGATTAAAGTCAAAAGTTTTATAGGAGCTGTATAAGAAGAAGCTGAAGTTACTGGAATTAAAGAAAAGAGGTAGAGTTGTCAAATATCTTCAGTTAGGAAGACAACTGAGGTTTTGTAGAGGAAATGTATCTCTTAGGCTAGGGAAAGAAGCTACACATAAACCAGTTTAAGTTATCAGAAACTGGTTTAAACCTGTAACAGAACATAAGTTCAGTGCAAATAAACCAGTTTCAAAATGGCCAAAACCAGCCTGAGATAAACCTGGTTCAAAGTGGTATTAGACTTAACCGATTAGGTCAAACCATTTTATGGAACTCGTGTCCCAGACCCCTTCCTGGTTTAAGTTGAATCAGAGTCCCCCAGCATCCCAGTATGCTATGCAGACCTGGGCTGGGCTGTCTGTTCCAGCCAAGCAGGGTTCACCCCTCTCTTCCCTAGCCAGAGCACTATCACTGCTGCAGCTGGCTGAGAAAGGGGTGGGGGTGCAAAACCCTGCAATTGAGTGCTGCCGGGTCAGCCTGGCAGGAGAGCAGCAGCCCTTGGCAGGTGTGTGTAGCCCCCTACCCCGTCACTGCTCCAATGGCAGAAGCAGGGGTGTGGCCAGACCTTGGTAGCTTGAGGGGAAGGTGGGGTTTAATCCCCCATTGCATGGAGGGGGAGCATGGACACCGACAGAGCAATAGGCTCCGCTTGTGTACCATGGTGGCCAGACACCAGTAGCCCGAGGGGAAGGGGAAGTTTAATCCCCCTATTGCAGGCAGCAGCAGCAGGGACACCAAAAAGGCACTAGATCTATCCCATGCTGCACATCCCTTCAGGCAGGGTCCATGCTGCAGCACCTGGGCCGAGACCCCCAGAGGAGCGGCCAGCAAGCCAAGGGGAGGGGGATGTGACCTGGCTGCAGGGGGTAGGGAGTAGGGTCCCCCCTGACTAGTTTGTAACAGGCCACTAGATCCCCCCTCAGCCTTCTCTTGTGGAGGCTGAACAGGTTCAGGTCCCTCAGTCTCTCCTCGTAGGGCCTGCCCTGCTACTCCCTGATCATGTGGGTGGCCCTCCTCTGGACCCTCTCAGTGCTGTCCACATCCCTCCTGAAGTGCGGTGCCCAGAACTGGACACAGTACTCTAACTGTGGCCTGACCACTGCCGCATAGAGGGGGAGGATCACCTCCTTGGACCTGCTTGAGATGCATCTGACCGCGTCCCCACACTGTCAGCCCATGTTCATTTTGGCATCGATAATGATTCCAAGATCCATTTCTGCCTCTGCACTGACAAGGGGGTTCCCCAGCCTGTAGGTATGCTGCTGGTTCTTCCTCCCCAGGTGCAGCACCTTGCACTTGTCAGTGTTGAAACCCATCCTGTTCTCATC